TGTATAACATTTTTTTTATAAAAATAAATTTTTTTGTCATAGACACAATATTTGCATGACTAAAATTAATTACATGATTATCGAAGAATATAATTTAAAATATTATTATATCATAGATAAATTATTTTTGATAAACATACGTATAAACGTCTGTACATATAAATTTGTATATATATATTTATTTAATAAAATTTTACTAATAAAATTTTTAAATATAAATATAATATGAGAAAGAATAAAAATCAATCTTTTTAGTTTTATCATTTACTTTCATTTCTTATTTATTATAATATCGAGAATATCAAATTCTTATTATCTTATATAAAATGAAAACAATTTTTTTTATATACAATGAAAACAAAATTAAAGACATAACCTATGCTAGTTAAATATTATTTTTTATTTTTTATTTTTGTTAATTCACATTTTATATATTATCTATATAAACTCTAAAAGTTCTTTATTTAGTTTTCTTTAAAATTAATATATTATAATATAATGAAATTGCTTATCATCTAAATTATATTTGTTCAATTATTAGATAAATAATAAAATATTTTCTTTCATAATCCTCAATTTAATAGGGGAAAATATGCTAAAAAAATTTTTTAGTGGGGGCAAATTTTGAAAATTTTAAAATTTATGAGAGTTTTTTCTATAATAAATCTAAAAAATTTTAAAATCCTAGACGGAGCAGCTGCCCCAAAGCTCCATATTTAGATCCGCACCTGCATGAATGTGTGATAGGAGTATTTTTAGCACCATCGTTCCCTACAAACTAATATAGAGAGTTTATTGGCTAAAATACTAAAACAATTCAAATCTATATATTAATTTTGTAGACAATTGACGAAGAAGAGAGTATCCACGTAACACTTATATTTTTTTATTTAAATCATTTTTTAATTTACTTTAATTTATTTTATATTGAATTTATTTTTTATTTTTTGTTTTTAATTTTTAATTTTAGTTTTTTTAATTTTATTTTTTATTAGATAAATTTTGTAAAAGAAGTTAATGGAGATAAAGATAATAAAATACTATATATTCGATTAATTTGGATTAGTAACTATTCATTATTAGTACATTTTTAAAAAAAGTCAAAATCCAATTTAGGGTTCCTTTTTTTTTTTTTTTTTGCCAAAGGGATTGGGTTGGACATAAATTTAAAATATTTCATCTCTTCTCTATTGTTCACGTGGCACCTCCTTCTTTTTATTTTTTTAAAGCTTTTGATTTTTTTGGTTTTCTTTTTTTTTTTTAATTTTTTGCTTTTGTCTTTTATTAGATAAATTTTATTAAAAAAAGTCAATTGAGATAGAAATGATAAAATAACTCATATCTTATAGGTTTCTCAATCCAATTGGTGCACTTTATTTTAATTTGAGATAACTTAGTTGAGTTTTTTTTTTTTTTTTAAATTGAGCTTGGTTAAGAACAAGGTTTTGGATGTTATGTCTTGAACCTGATATAATAGAAAATATTTATTTTATTAATTATTTAATTCTATATTCTATATTTTATAAAAATATTATTTAATACTTTAATTTAATAAATTCATGTGGCATCCCATTTGATTTTTTTTATTTTTTTAAAAATTTTTATTAGATAAATTTTATAAAGAAAAAGTCAATAGATGCAAGAATGATAAAATAATTTATATCCAATGGGTTTCAATTTGTCACAATCGAATTGATATAATTTTTTTTTTTAAAATAAGGATTGAGTTAAATATTGTTTTTTTTAATAATTTAAGTGAAGTCGAGAATGGGTTTGGGATGCTTTGCCACGACCCTCTTAGGGATATATCAAAGAATATATTTTATTATTTGTTTAATTTATATTTATATATATTTGTATTATATAATAAAAATATTATTTAATAGTTTAATTTAATCAAAAACTACATATATACATAATAAAATTATAGTTTATATTAATAAATAAATAAATTTATATTTGTCTATATGTCGTCATTCATTAAAACTTAACTTAAAAATTTTACTTCTCTCATATTTAAATCATAATTTAAAAAATAAAAAATAATCTCACAAAGTGCTAGTTTAATTCTAATTTATTTAAAATTTTTAAAATAATCTAAAGATTTTTTTTAATATTTTAATTGAGTTTTTTTTAATTACAAATGGAGTTGTTCTATACATGTAGCAATAGTGTCAAAGGATAAATGGTTGTCGATTTTTTTTTTTTTTGTTGTTTTCTCATCAATTAAACAACAAATAAACGCCAACGTTATATTGGCTTAATAGAAAAGAGGGAACTTTGAAATTTTTAAGTTTTAGGGTTCAAGTTTTATCACATGTAGGCAATTTGTTTAATTTTATGTTGATTTATTTTATTCATTAATTTGTTTATTAATTTCTTCTGTAAATGTAATATGTGATATATATAGTTTGTAATAGAAATTTTTACTTGTAATGTAACCAATAAAAAAACAAAGAAAAGTGGTTTTTTTTTTCTCAGGAATTCTAATGTAGACTTGCCAATGAACTGTACTGAACTGGAACTAATATGATGTTATCATTTTACATGCTTGCCCAAGTCCAACTTATCCAATGATTCAAGCATTAAATTATGCCTAAGTCCATCAAAATTATTAAAAAATATTAATTGATGCAATCTAGACCTAACCAAATTATTTTTTTCTAAAAAACTAAAAATATGATATTTTTATTTAATCTTTAGTATTTTATTTTTTTTAAGTTTAAAATATGAATATTTAACATATTTTTTAATGTTTACATTATAATATTATATATGTATTTATTATTTATATAATATATTATATAATAAAAAATGGGCATAATTGGATTCAGATCTTGAATTTTGGAATTAAAGTCCAATTCATTTTTTACTTTAACACATTTAACAAGTTTAATATCAAGTAAGCTTTCAGCTTTATATGAATAATTCGATCCTAGGATGGATGCCTTTATTTTTTAAAACATATTCTATTACTTGCTTGCAAAATATAGAAAACAAAAAAGAACCCACTTACTACCAAAAGTGAGTACTGCAACTATTTTAAAACTTTATTCAACAAAAAAAGAAAATCATTTTATTATAAAACTCTACGCTATATAACACTTCCATCGTTGTTAGAAATGCAAGGGATGGCCGAGTGGGAAAGTTGTGAATGCTAAGTCAGGTTTAGAAGTTGAGGCCTTGGCCATGAAAGCAGTAGTTAAAATGGCTTATGATTGCAAATTCCAAACGGTGGTAATTGAGACTGATTCTGAAGTACTGTAATGGAATGTCAATGAAGCACTGCCATGTTCTGATTGGAATATCCAGCCAATGGTGAATGTTATCAAGGCCTATGTGAAGAAGTTTGAAGGAGTAAAGTTGAGTTGTGTTAGCCGTACAGCAAATAAGGCTGCAGACTGCATTGCTGTCCAGGCAAGACATGGGATGAGCTTTTTGAACTGGGTCAATGCACCGCCATTGACTGTATTCTGTGGTCCAAGTTTTTTTCCTGTATCGTGACTTTTATAATTGCTTTTTCATCAATACATTCATTGTGTTTTGTCCAAAACAAAAACCTCAATCGCAACTTAATTTTGCGATTAGTCATAATAAATTAACCGCAATCGAGAATTTTTATCTTGTTTGACGTTACATTTCAATCAAGTTGACGACTGAACCCTGTTTTGTGAGACTATAACATCCTTTTACTTGTCCTGCAACGTAATTGCTTCTAATAACCGGCATTGGAAGGATGAATTGAAAAGAATGCCATAATGATGAACAAGTAAATTAGAGACATTGTCGCATTCAGACAAATCAGAGCTTTTCATAAGATGGAGTTTTGTAAGACTGCATTTCTGTTTTCCAACTGGATGTCTGGACCATTGAAGCAAAGATCAACATACTTTACCGTATGTTGGGCACTGAATGAGCAGCCATTTGCGGTAGAACTTTCTCATCTCTCCAGTGTTTAGAATATTATTGAGGGTTGACAGCTTCCAACCCTTGTCTTTTTCAACTTTGTATAGTCACTTTCTATTCCTATCCTCTCATTTTCCTAACTCTCACTATATATGCTCAAAAGTTCAAAAAAAAATATTTTTTGAACCAAACATCAAAAGAGTTTCCCCTACGGTTTGGGGCACTGAATTTAGTAGTTTTGGCGCACAATTTTGTCGAAAGCATATCACTTATAATATTTATAGTACAATTAATCAATTTGAATTTAAAATTATGTAAAATATATTCAAATATTATATAAAATTTACACTTATAAGTAGTGGATATATAATTTTTTATTGTGATTGCTGGTAAAATGTTCCTCCGTCTCTGATGTCTAGAACTGTTGCATTGATTGTTGAGTATTGAGAGCTTCAGCCTCAATCGTTTTCAACTTTTTATAGTTACTTCTATCACTATCATCTTTAAGAAGCTTATTTCCATTTCAATTTCGTTTTAATTAGTAAATTAATATATGCTAAAAGATTTTAAAAATTACTACAATTTCTCAAATTTACTTTCACATATAAATGTTAGCTTAATCATTCTCTTATTTCTAAAATTCCTGAAATTGGACAATAAAAATTTGTCTTTATGACGTTAAGTTAAAGTCGCGTCATATATATATATATATAAGTGGATTTTATTCAACTTTATCTTGAATTTATTCACTTATATTAATTTTTTTAGGTTGGTTTATCTACTTATTTTATTACATTAAATTTTTATATGAAAATAATACTCGATTATTTTTTATAAAAAAAAAAAAAAAAACTTGAGATTGGAGTCTTGCGGTTTAGGCTCTCTTCTTGTACCGTATATTGTGTTTGGGAATTAGGACCCATTTGCATGTATTTATTAATCAAAAGATGAGTCAGAGGATGCAGTGGCTAAATCCATGAAAAGAAAGTATTTAAAGAATATTGAACGATTAACACTAGAATAGTACACTGGCACCGATTAAACTCAGTTGTTTCTGATCTCTTCATGATTTGCCTTTTCTCCTCTTCCCTCTTATGGTTCTGCTCCTATTGCCTCCCTTTGGGGCTACTTTATCTGCCGGTTCACCCAACATCAGCACTGACCGATTGGCTCTTCTTGTACTAAAATCCCATGTCACTTACGACCCTCGAAACTTCTTGGCATCCAACTGGTCTACTTCTGCCTCTGTTTGCAATTGGATTGGGGTCACTTGCGGATCAAGACACCAGAGAGTCACTGCTCTGAATTTTTCAGCAATGAGTCTTACAGGCACCATTCCACCTCACTTGGGAAATCTTTCTTTCCTTGCTTGGCTCGACATTCACAATAATAGTTTCCAAGGCTCGTTACCCATTGAGTTAGCTAATTTGCGTAGGTTGAAATATTTGAACTTTGCTAACAATAGCTTCAGTGGGGAATTCCCGTCATGGTTTGGTTCCTTCACTCAACTTCAGTCGTTGTATTTGGATGGCAACAACTTCACAGGCGTTATCCCATCTACTCTGGGCAATTTGTCAAAACTAGAAATGTTGGTCTTGGATTACAATAATTGAAAGGGCCGATGCCTGCAGCAGTTGGAAATCTTTCAAACTTGAAATGGTTAAGTTTGGATAAAAATTACCTTTCAGGTTGCAATTGGATACCTTTCTCAATTTTTAATGTCTTTATTCATTGTAGAATGTTGACTTTAGAACTAATAATTTCATTACAGGTCATCTTCCGTCGGGAATATTTGATCACCTTCCTAAATTACGAGCACTAAGTTTGACATGGAACCAGATTTCGGGTAGAATTCCTAATAGTTTATTCAAATGCAAAGAATTGGTGTATTTATCCTTCCATAACAATTTTTGGAGGGAAGTTTGCCTATAGAGATCGGAAATTTGACTATGCTCAACCAATTGTATCTCTACAGGAACAACCTCGAAGGTACAGTGAACATATGTCTTTTTTTTTTTTTTAAAGGTATCAAACCGGGTCCGCTTATGGACATCTCTGAAATACTAATAAGAAATTTACCTTATCGCAGGCTTCATTCCTTCCTCAATCTTCATTCTGTCTTCGTTGCAAGTAATTTCATTCGGATTAAACAAGCTCTCCGGTCACCAGATTTTTTTTTATCACCTTCCTCGATTACTATTTCTACATGCTCTCAGTAGGTCATCTCATATCGGATATATTTGATCACCTTCCTAATTTACGATGGCTTTATTTGAGTGGGAGTCAAATTTCTGGAAGAATTCCAACAAGTTTGTTCAAATGCAAAAGGTTAGAACATATATACCTGGCTTCTAATCAATTGGAGGGGACTGTGCCTTTGGAAGTCGCCAATTTGACTTCACTTAAGGTATTGAATATCGGCGGCAACAACTTGATCAGTAAGCATTTTTTTTTTTGGTAATTGAAATTGTCAAAAATTTAATCTTAATTATTAGATCCCATCCGCTTCTGCTTTGAACATAGCTCTACCCATGGAGTATTCTCAACCTAACAAATACATACATATGTGCATGTGTCACGGACCTAAGGAAGAATCTGAATCTCACATCGAACATAATAGGAGGGTCCCTGGGGTATAAAAGGGTTCACACCACCTCCACCTTGTGAGGCGCCCTTTGTAAGATAAAACCATGAGGCCAGGGGGGGCCAGAGCGGACAATACCTCACAAGGGTGTGAACCGTGGCAGGAAGGCTGATCTGGGATGCCGGAAGGGTGAATGCCCGAGTCCCGGAGTCACGTGGGTTCGGAGCTTGAGTCTCAACCCGTGACAAGTGGTATCAAAGCCAGCCCTAAACCGTTCGATCCACGCCAAGCACCTCAAGGGAGGCAGGCAGGGTGGTTAGCCTCCGTGACGAGGGCGTACGAGGTTGGGTGCGGGAGAATGTCACGGACCTAAAGAAGAGTCTGAATCCCACATCGAACATAATATGAGGGTCCCTGGGGTATAAAAGGGTTCACACCACCTCCACCTTGTGAGGTGCCTTTTGTAGGATAAAACCGTGAGGCTAGGAGGGGCCAGAGCGGACAATACCTCACAAGGGTGTGAACCGTGGCAGGAAGGCTGATCTGGGACGCCGGAAGGGTGAATGCCCGGGTCCCGGAGCCACGCGGGTTCAGAGCTTGAGTCTCGACTCGTGACACATGCATGTTTATATGGATCATCTTAATCTCTTCTAATTTACTTACAAATATTCAAACATATATATTCATAAAGACCTTCTAAATCTCTTCTAATCTGGTAGAATGTCTATCCAATAAAACCCTACAAATTTTTTATATCTTTTTCTCATATTTAATCTTATAGACACTTACATTACTTATAAGCATATAAATTTGCCTATCAAAAATCTCTTTCCACTTAAAATTTTTCCTCTACAAATCTTCTTATTCATAAAACAATATATAATCAATCTAAAAAAAAAAAATCTCAAACAAATCTCTTATGAGATTTGAGTCAATCACAATAATTTTCACCTTGACTTAAATTTTATCAAATCATCAATTTTCATGCTAGACATACTTGACTCTAACTGCAATGGAATTATCTTAATAATCTTCTCTGTGTATTTTCACTCTTCTCGCAAACCAATCTATCAAAATACGAATTCAAACTCTTCTCTTGAATTGAGCTTCTCTAAGCTTACCTCTTTCTATGTCTTGAACCTTTGCTCTAATGCCAATTTTTAGGTACGTCCATAAATGAGAGAAAAGATCCACTAATTATAAAGAATTACAAACATACAATCATATCAATCAACACTCATAATCAATATTTATGGACCATTTCATTTTCTTATAATCTTATGGAGTATTTTCAACCCAAACAACTGCATACCCATGTGGTTTACTGTACTTATGTGGATGCATTTATTTTTCTCTAATCTTGTAAAGTATTTTCAACTCAAACAAGTACATACTCATGTGGTTCACCATACTTATGTCATTTTGATTCTCCTCTAGTTTACCTAAATATACACATTCATAAGAACTTCTCAATCTACTTTATTCTTATAGGGTGTCTATTAAATAAAATCCTAAAATTCTTTTATATATTTTTTTCATACCTAATCCTATAGAGGCTCTCATTATTTATAAAAATACAAATTTGGCTATCAATAATCTCTTGCCACTTAAAAGTTTTCTCTTACAAATCTTTTTATCCATCTAACAATATCTAATTAATATGAAAAAAAAGTCTAAAATACATTTCTTGTAGAATTTTGAGTCAATCCTAATAATATTCTACCACGGGATCACATAACTGTTGGTGTCTTTTTTTTTTTTTTTATACAAGGTTTTTTTTTTTAATGACCTAACACCATCTTTCTTTTCTTTTTCTTTTTGAACATCGAAAAAAGTTTCTTACTTATGTTTGTGTTATATATTTGGAAATTATTTTTCATGATTTTTTTAACTTTTGATAATAAAATCATATATATATACTAGCTATAAAAAAATTAAAATTTTAATATAAAATACAATAAACTCAAAACTGTTTCTTTTAGTTTTTGTGAAAGTCATATAGAGAGACAAAGAATTTGTGAGAATCGGAGAGAGACAGGTGGAGTGATTACTTTTTTCATAGTGTGCTCCAATATTGTTACGTACGTACTAATAGAATTTTCTAATTCAACTTACGGCTGTCCGATTAATACTGCAGCCACGCACTTAGACATGGCAAGATGTTGTGGGGTAAATTATCCTGTCATTTTTCTTGGTTGACATATGCATTTTATTTGCATGCGTTACATCACGAACATAGTTTATTTGCATTTTTTTTAATTTCATATAATCTTCAAACTCCTAACCTAGATTTATTCCTTATTTTCTCCCAGGACGCTTTCCAACTGCACCACTTTCATTGCATTGGTTATCTGTTTCAGAGAATAATTTAGTTGGAGAAATGCCTTCCTTAATTTGCAACTTGAGTTCCCTTCTAGGTCTTAATTTGGATAAGAATAATTTGGGTGGAACTATTCCAAAATGTATTGGAAACTTGAGCTCTCTCTTATACATTGTTCTACGTAAGAATAATTTTCATGGGAAATTACCTGAAAATTTTGCTAAAGGTTGTTCTTTGAGAAGTTTTGAGATCAACAACAACCAATTAGAAGGATCACTACCACAATCTTTGGGTAATTGCAAAGACTTAGAACTTCTAGATGTGGGGAAGAACAACTTAAATGACACTTTTCCTAATTGGTTGGGAAACTTGGATCACCTATAGGTTCTTGTCTTGAGATCGAATAGATTTTATGGTTACGCAGATAACTCCAAAGTTACATTTTCCTTCACTCGTTTGCGTGTCATTGATCTTTCTCACAATCACTTCAGTGGATACTTACCGACCAATTTTTTTGAAAATTTGCAAGCCATAAGGGAAAGATGTGAAAAGAAAGTTAAGCCAGAGTACATGATCGATGCATCGGCTGATGGAGTGGTGTATTATATTCAAAATGTTACTTTCACAATAAAAGGGTTGGAAACAGAATTTCAGGCACTATTAACCACTTGGACGGTGATTGACTTTTCGAACAATCAATTGGTTGGGGAAATTCCTAATTCACTTGGTGAACTTCATTCACTTATAGTCCTCAACCTTTCTCACAATAGTTTAACATGTCCTATCCCATCATCTTTCGGTGATTTGTCAGAGCTTGAAGCATTGGATCTTTCATCGAACAAGCTCGAAGGAGAAATTCTAGCACAACAAAAAAATCTTGTATTTTTAGATGTGCTGAACCTTTCTCATAATTATCTTATCGGACCTATTCCTCAAGACAATCAATTTGATACTTTTGAAAATGATTCTTACAATGGGAATTTGGGTTTATGTGGATTCCCATTGTCAAGGAGTTGCAGTAATGATGGGAAATTGAAGCCAACACCGGCAACAAGAGCATTAAGTTGGAAATTTGCAATGCTGATGGGTTATGGATGTGGATTGGTGTTCGGATTAAGCATGGGATACATTGTATTCACAACTGGAAAACCATGGTGGTTCGTCAGGATGATTGAGAGAGTTCAATAAAAATCTATTAGAGTGAAAAAAATCCGAAGAAGTACTAGAGAAAGAAAATAGAACAAACTATGCTCCTATCGGTAAGGTATAATCGTTCTCTACAAACAACTATTCCTTTTTATTATAATCTTTTTTTCTTTTTTACAAGAGGGTAGGAGTTACAACTAAACCTCAAACTGAAGATTTTTCTCTGACAATTATTAATAAATGTTTCAGATTTGGTCTTATAGGGAGTTGATGAAAACAAAGGACATTTTTCAAGTCTAAAGTGGTAAGGGTTCTATAATTTTATTTAATTATATAAATAGGAGAGATTCTCGTATAGGGTTCAGTTTTACATGTATCCTTTTCGTTTTTTTTTTTTTTTAACAGCCAGGATTTTCTTTGTTGATACCTATTTAACTTGTAGTCAATATATAATTTTAGATGTATGATTTCATGAATGATATGTTAAGAATATAGTTTTATGGTCATAATTTGGATTTAGTTTTTGTGGATATGGATATTTTGTCTTTGTTCTTCTTTGAATTGGATCCTTTTGGCCTCTGCAATATTTCTTCAATATTCTTCTATTCCGAGAAAAAAATATAAAAGAAAAAATGGTTTTTTATATTTATTTTCCAAGCAATGTACAGTGAAGAGGACAAAGTTTTTCACATTTATATGATAGATATTGTATTTTGTTTGACAGGGACGAATTAGGGGCGGACAAAGGCCTCACCTCCTTAATTAAAGAAATCATGGTTGTAATCTTTATTACAATGTTTACATATCTTTAGAAAGTAAGAAAAGTTAAATGCGAAATCAATTTTGTAATAAATATTATAGTGATTTAACTTTCTTTAATTTTTTTTTCTGTTACTAAAATTAACCTTCTATGCTTTATTTCTTTACTTTCTCTGACTTCGTTGTCCCTTTGTGTTGATATGATAGTCCATTTCTAAATAAATTCCAATTTGTTAGTGGTATATGTTAGACCTTATTCCAATTTGTTATATCATTAGTGAGGTTTTTAACTTCGTATGTAAAACGGGCTTAAAGAATCGATATGTGTTTATTTAAAATATATTTAATTAATAATGAAAATATAACAATTATATACAATAATGAATTTGGAGTTTATTATATGATAAAGTCTGATTTCATTATTATAAGTATAATTATTATATAGTAATAATTTTAGAGTTTAGCCAATAATTATGTAATTCATTAATAGATTATTGGATTATTAATTTCAGTGATAAGGGATCAAATTTTGAAAATCTCAAATATAAAAATAATTATTTAAAATTTAATTTAATTAATATATATAATAATTTATATCTAATAAATATAAAATTTAAATTATAACGCTTATAACTTATGCTTTTATCTTTAAATTACAACTTCTTTTATAAAAAATCAATCATATAAATTTATTTATAAAATTAAAAAACTCCACCGAATGGATAAAAATAATGATCATACACTTTATTCTAATTTTTTAGTGGTGTCAATTCATGGTCCCCTCTTACCGTCTCCATCTTGCAAGCGGGTATTCCATTAAGCTCCAATATTGACTTAAAACCGAGAGAAAAGCATCAACAAGAGTCAAGGTAGTGCGATGTCCCTCGTCTCTTGTCTCTTCTTCCCGATCGTGTGTCCCTAATAATTTCTTAACATTTTAAAAGATGACATCAAGGTAAATGGGCCCTCTCAAAATTAGACTTTTTTGATAGACTTGGAAAGCGTAGGTCTTGTTCTTGTTTGGCAAGATAGCAAGTGCGAACACAGGAAAAATTTTAGATATTGCAGGAATATTGTACAGATTTTCTTCCGCAATAATGTTTACTTATGAAATAGACATGCCAATCAAACACGGCAGAAACAAAAAATCGATTCAAGTGAACCAATAAACACGCCATCTAATTTCAAGTTCAACTAAGCTTGCTCTGATTCCCATTGGGCTAACTTGATAGAAAATGAAGATAATTTTTTTTTCAATGAGAACACTTGTTGGAAATTGAAGAGATTTTTTTTTATTGCTATTTTAGACTTGAAGGGCATGGCGTGACACGTCATACCTTAAACTTGACAAAATAAGGTACACTTTTGTCTTAAAAAAAATAGTAATTGTAAAAATTATATCTTAGCTTAGAAAAGGTAAGTCGTAAATATTCAAATATAATAGCGAATTAAACTTTTTGGCAAAAAAAAGTCAAGAAAAAGAATGGATGTGTCTTAAAGACTAAACCTCTATAAATTATTATATTTAAATTTTATTTGCTTTATCCTCTATTTAATTTCAAATTCATTTGTGCTTTAATTTTTTTATATTTTTTATAGTATCATTTTCCCAATTATATTTGTTAAAATTTAACTTTGAAAAGAATTTAGATACAGTTCAATTCATCCTTTCTCTTAAATTATTGATTTATACTTGAGCTAACATAAATAAAAATTAACCAATATTTCATTCAATATGAAAATCATTATTTAAGGAAAAATAATTAATTTAATACATTATCAATTGTTTGATGTGTATATAAATAGTTCTCTTTTTTCATTTTTAGAGTTTTTATATACTTTTATATATAGTAATGATAATATTTTGATAACAATTATCCAATTCACTGTTAGTAAAATTTTGAAACCTGTTTTAAAAAATAGGTTTAAATGGTTAGCATGTGTCTATTTGAGTATATTTATAAAAAAAAATTAAATTATTAATTAATAAATGAACACATGACCAGTAACGAATTTTTATATTTAACTAAAAGTTTAATATTTTATATATATATAATATTTCATTTGAGTTATGTTATTTAACTAACATAAAACATATATGCAAGTAATATATTAATAAAAAATCACAAGTTTATAAAATCATAAATTTATCAATTTATAAACAAAAGTACAAAGAAGCAAAATATATCAAATAAATAATTATATTTAAAATTGTGAGTGACATTTAAAAAAAAAATTTTAAGAATTGAATTTCAAATAAATATTTCAATAATCTCTCTTTCAATATTGACAACCAATAAGTGGATCGAAGAAAAAAATTAAATTTATTTGTTTATTAATAGAAAGTGTAAATTAAAATTTTAAAAGTTCAATTAAGTTTTTTTTTAAATTCGCATAATTATAATTTAATACTTGTGACAAATCAATTAATTTTAAACATTTATAAAAAAATGATTGGTGAGTAAAATAAATAAATATATTTTAATCTTTTAATTTAAAGGGGTCAGTTAATTTTATTTAATATATATAATATATAAATATAAAAGTTTTAAAGAGATTTTTCAAAATCTTGGGGGGAGGCCCCCCTGGTTTAGCTTACCCACCGCTCCTGCACATGACAAACACATAAACCTATTTTGAAATTAAAAAAAAAAAATCCACCAACCCAATATAAATTGCAGTCCTATTCTTTATTCCAATTTGTTAGTGGTATCACTTCGTTGCCTCTGTTACTGTCTACGTCTTACAAGTGGTATCCAGTTGGGTTCCAATCTTGACCCTTGGAGAAAAGCGTCAATAAGGGTCATCATGGCCATGCCTTGGCCCTCGCCTCGTCTCGTCTTACCCGTGTCCCTCATTTTCTTACTTTTGGAAAGAAGACTTCAAGGTAAGGTCCTTTCAAATCAGACTTTTGTTCTTGTTTGACAAGATAGAAGTGTGAACACAGGATAAATTTTCGACATTGCAGAAATATTGTACAGATTTTCCACTGCAATGATGTCTAGTTATGAAAAAGACACGTCAAACAAACACCGCAGAAACAAAAAATCCATTTAAGTGATCCAATAGATACTCCATCCAATTTCAAGTTCAACTAAGCTTGCTTTGATTCCAATTGAGATAACTTGATGAAAATTGAAGACAGAGGGTCCCGGATTATCGTTGTCATTTTTAAAAGTTTCCAAATCAGGTTGAAATTAAGGTACCATCAAAATAGCCTTTGACAAACAAAACATGTGGAATGTATTAGTATTAAATAATGAACAATCAACACTATGATTCACCAAACTTAATTGTTCTTTTCTTTCTCTTAATTTGCCTCATAACCCAGCATATACCGATGGAAGACACTCGGTTCATCCTCCCTCTCATGGTTGTGATGCTCTTGCATAATTTTGTGCCTAGTTTTTCGATGGAATCACCCAACATCACCACTGATCGATTGGCTCTCCTTGCCCTGAAAGCCCATGTCACTCGAGACCCTCAAAATGTTTTGGCAACCAACTGGTCCGCTGCTACCTCTGTCTGCAATTGGATTGGTGTCAGTTGTGGATCCAAGCACCGCAGAGTCACTGCTCTAAATCTTATTAGCATGAGTCTCACAGGAACCATCCCACCAATCTTGGGAAATCTGTCTTTTCTTACTTCGCTCAACATTAGAAATAACAGTTTTCATGCTTCATTACCAATCGAATTGGTCAATTTGCGTCGGTTGAAATTAATAGATATTGGTAGCAACAGCTTCAGTGGAGAAATCCCATCATGGTTTGGCTCCTTCCCTGAACTTCAAAACTTGTTTCTGTACGGTAACAACTTCACTGGTGTTATCCCATCTTCTTTGGGCGATTTGTCAAAGCTAGAGAAGTTGGTCCTATATAACAATAGTCTTGAAGGGCAGATTTCTAAAGCAATTGGAAATCTTTCTAATTTGCAATGGTTATATTTGGATTATAATCGCCTTTCAGGTTCCATACTTGCCAATCTTTTCATATAATCTTCATTGCAAAATATTGATTGCAACACTAATAATCTCATCTCAGGTCATCTTCCTTCGGATATATTTGATCACCTTCCTAAATTACGGCAGCTAGGTTTGGTTTCGAACCAGTTTTCCGGTAGAATTCCAGCCAGTTTATCCAATTGCAAGGAGTTGGAAATTTTGTACTTATCGAACAACTCTTTGAACGGAAGTGTACCTGAAGAAATTGGAAATTTGACTATGCTCAGGGAGTTGTATCTCAGTATGAACAACCTTGAAGGTACGCTAAACTTGGCCATGGTTTACAAACTAAAATCAAAACTAATTAATATGGAATACGTGATTAATTGGAAATTTATATTAACTTTTTCATAGATCCGAATTTTGAATTTCAGATTCGGTTTAGAAATTTTAATTCAAAATTTCGTGAATTTTATTCGAAATTTTCTATGTAATTAATTAACTTTCGTCATACCATTTGGGATTTGACATATGCTTTAATTTCTTTACTAACCATGAATCATTATTTTGCATGTATTTTATATATTTTCGCTATAGTATCAAATATTAAAGAAAGTCCACATTTCATTATATCAAGATGATGTAAAAGTGATATGTATAATTATATATACTAGTTTTTTTTCATGTGCTATGCACGTAATTGTTAACCAAATTATAATTCTAATATTTTAAAATAATTTTAATACTTTTATAATAATAAAATTGAAATAACCATCATCATACTAAATTAAATTGAAAATATAAATTTAAGTTTGAAAAAAATAAATATAACAAAAATTTTAAATTAAAATTCCAATAAAGAATAAATATTTAACCTTTCTCTATTTTGACTTTTTTTTAGAACTTTTCTTTTAAGTCTTTTGATTTTAGTTCATCATTTTCATTCATTTTTTATATATTTTTCTTTTTTTTTAAATTTTTTTAGAGAATTATCTTCTATCACAATCAAATCGGATTTTTTACTTTCCTTTCTTCTCTATTTTATGCTTTTTCTTGAGCTTTTTCTTTTAACTTTTTTTGTAGTGAATTTTTATTTTCAATTAAAAAATTTTTAAAGTAATCGATTATTGATGAACTCATTTAAACTCTTGCTTTTCATCTATTTGCTATTGAAATTTTAAATTATTTATTTTGATTTGAAACCATATTCTTATAAAGTTTTTGTTGCTTGAAATAAAGTAAATATATAATATTTTCTTTTTCATGATCACTTACTTCTGTTTTTGATATGTACTTATTTATGAAATATAAATCATTTTGTAGTTTCATTTTATATTAAAAAATACATACTTACATGAATTTTACTAATTAAAAAATATTAATTTATAAACATATTCTAAAAAAAAGGATTTGAAGCAATCAAGAACCATTTTCATCAATGATGTTTATTTATACATTTACAAGAGATATTAACTAAAACTACTTTTAATATCGACTATTGATTTCTTAAAAAGCCACTAAATATGCATAACTTAATAAAATATGTTATAATAAGAGTTTAAATAACACATTTTACTTAAAGGTATATCTTATCATAATCAAATAGTTTTTTTATATTGTTCTTTAAATATTGAAATATTTTTCTCAATTAACTTTGGTTCAATATTATTATTGTTTGTTAAATAATGAAATATAATAATTCTAAAATTAATAAGATATGACCTATTTTAGATAAATATCAAAAGATATTATTATATTTTGAAGGTAAACTATGTTTTAAATCTTAGACTTTAAAATTGATAATGAATATAGTTTTAATATTTGAACTCTTTTTTAATTAAAATGGAGTAATTTCTTTATTCAACGAACACTTAATTATATATTTAGTATAAGTCATACAAAAAATTTATCATTTAATTGATATTGTTATAAAAGTATAATTTATAGAATTCATATTATTATTAATATTATTAAATCATATATTTTGATTTAAAATATTATGTACTTGATAAAATAACTTTTAGATATTTTTCCTATAGTATTATCTAATAAGTTTAAACTCATTATTTCTTTCTTTCATTTTAAAAATATCTTTAAAGCCAATAATTTTTTTATAGTTGCTGCCAGTGTTATAAAACCTACCACATAACACAAGAATTTATTTTTAGTAAAAATATAGCGTTAATCTAGTTACTATTAATTTATTATCAAGTAGACAATCAATGACATAAAATTTAGATAAATTCGTTCCAAATTTTTACTTCAGAAATTGATTTTTTTTCAATAAAACTATGTTATTATAGTAATTGGTACATGAATATTGTTTTAATTATTTATATATGTGTACAATATCCACAAATATTTGTAATTCAATACCTTAGTATTAAATGGCAATAAATATATTTTTTAAATAAATAAAATATGTTACACAAATTAAAAAATATATATAGCTCTATATCAATATTCAACCAAAACAAAAACAAAAAAATTTACTAAGTTAGTAATGATTTACTATTATATATTATCGATGATTTACTACTAAATTATATCACTAATTTACTATTAAAATATGAATAATTTAGTATTAAGTGATTCATATTTTACTACTAAGCTGAAATTGATTTATTATAAGTTATCATTAATTTATTGTTATCACTAATTTATAATTAAATTATAACTGAATTATCATTAAGTTATCAATAAATTCGACTAAGTTAACATTGATTTATTATTATAACTAATTTATTACTAAGTTTTGACTTCACTCTCGCTAGTAACCAGAGTTTAATCCTTAAAAAGTTCAAGTATAAAAAAACTTATCATCGATTGATAACTAAGTTATCGTGGATTTATTACTATGTTATCAGTAATTTATTATTAAATTATCAAAGATTTACTATTAAGTTATGAAATATTTACTACAAAATTATCAATGATTAATTAATTTACTACTAAATTATCATTGATATACAACTAAATTATAAGTGATTTACTACTAAATTCAATGATTTACTATTATATTATTATGCATTTACTAATTACCATTGATCTATTACTAACAATTTAACAATTAGCTATTAAGTTATCAATTATTTACTACTAAGTTATCAATTGAATTACTACTAAGTTATTTATGATTTACTATTAATTTATCAATAAATTACAATATATGAAATAATTTTCTTTTATATAATAACATCATTGTTTCATTCATAATTTAGAATTTTTTTACTAAATATTTTTAATGAATAGGTTCATGGTAGGTTTATTATAGTTCCTAATGATGAAAGTTCTAGCTTTGTTCTTTCTAGTTACCAGGGTTCAATAACTGGTAACTTCATATATAAAAAAATGTTATCACTAATTAAACAATAAGTTATCAATTACATATTACTATCTTATCACTGATTTACAACTAAATTATCATTAATTTATCACTAAGTTATAGATGATTTACTATTAAATTATAAACAATTTACTACTAAATTATTGATAATTTACTATTAAGTTATAGATAATTTATTATAAAGTTATTACTAATTTATTATGAAGTTTTTGATGATTTAGTATGAAGTTATTAATAATTAACTAATTTACAATTAAATTATCATTAATTTATAACTAAATTATCACTAATTTACAGCTATGTTATCAATGATTTACTATGACATTATTAGTGATTTACTACTAAATTATCAATAATTTACTATTAAATTATCAACAATTTACTATATACTATTATGCATTTGCTACTATGTTATCATTGATTTGCTACTGAGTTTTAGTGATTAACTATTAAATTATCATTGATTTATTGCTAAGTTATTTATGATTTACTGCTAAGTTTATAATTTAATTACTATTAAACTAAAATAGATTTACTATTAAGTTATTAGTAACTTATTACTAAGTTTTCCTTGATTTACTACTAAATTATCAATAATTAACTATTAAATTATCATTTATTTTTTTATTAAGTTATCATTAATTTACAACTATGCTATTATGCATTTACAATTATGTTATATTGATTTACTATTAAATTATTATGCATTTATTATTATATTATTATTAATTTACTACTAAGTTATCAATTATTTACTATTAAATTATTATTGATATACTATTAAGTTATCACTAATTTACTATACTAAATTATCACTGATTAACTATTAATTTATCAATGATTACTATTAAGTTATATTGATTTATTTTTAATTTTCAATTATTAATTATTACTAAGTTCTAAATTATTTACTACTAAATTATCATTAACTTATTATTAAGTTGTTTATGATTTACTGTTAAATTTGTCAATTAATTATTTCTCTTTTTATCTATCCCAATTAACTTTCTTTTGTTAAAATTTTTTAATTTTGAAATCTATTATTTTAAATATTTTAATAAATTTAATTTTATAAAACATATATTTAGAAACCACTTCATTTAAAGTTTTTAAAATATGTATTTTTTCAGATTTTTTATCAATAATAAATATAAAATAATAAGTGATTAAAGTTAAAAAAATTGACCAACAAAAATAAAAATGTGATAATTATATTGGGATGGAGGAAGTATTAAACTGAATCTTATTTACTATTAACTTATTATTAATTTATTACTAAGTTATCATTGATTTACTATTAAGTTATCACTTACTTTTATTAAACTATCCTTAATTTACTACTTTATTTTTATGTATTTACAATTATGTATAAATAATTTACTATTAAGTTATTTGTTATTTACTATTATATTATTATGTATTTATTATTATGTTATCCCTGACATACATCTATCTTATCAATTATTTACTATTAAATTATTATTTATTTACTATTATGTTATTAATAATTTACTAATAAGTTATCCATAATTTAATATATAGTTATCATTGATTTAATATAAAGTTATTACTGGTATTGTCTAAACTATCATTATCAATAATTTTGCTACTATATGACTCTCTTTGCCTTTATTTGTTTGTCTTGTGGTGATTTTTACATAGTTTAAGAAAAAAATTTTAACTTTAATATATTTAATATTAAAATTAATTTTTTATAAAATTAAAGTTTTATGATTTTTAATGTTAAAAAGTAAAAAAAAATCATAAAAATAATTTAAAATATAAAATGTAAGAGTATAGATATTTAAAACAGAAAATAAGACATAATTTTGGGACATCCTAAAAAAAATGGACAAAGAAAATAAGACAGAGGGAATATTATACATTTACTATCATGTTATAATTTATTTAACACTAAATCCTCTAGTTAATTTAATTGTGTAAAACATATTAATAGACGTAATGTATTACAAACATTAAAATATTCATCTGTAGAAAAATTATTTTAAATCTTCTAGCCGTATTGCTTACTTTAAGTGGGGCATGAATGACTTAACCAAGAAAAACTATTTTAACAAGAAACTAAATAAAAAGTAGACAATATTTTAATTTGCTAAAAAAATTAAATAGAAATAAGTAGAGATAATTTAGTAAATTATCACATATTATATATAATATAGATATATATGAAACATCTTCTTAATTATAAAATGTCCCATTCAAAGTAAGCTATAAAATCTAAAATATGCACATGTTTGTCAGTTTTCTAAATTTTAGATAAAATTTAAATAACTATTTATAGTAAAGTTGGCTCAATTCCAAATAGGGCACTTTTTACACATTAATTAAAAAAATTTAAGGTCATGATATCATCTATAATCTAATACATTTTTAATCATTTTCATATATATTATGATATATTGACCAACTGAATAATAAAAAGACTAATTTAGTAATTTGAGGATCTATATGAAATATTAATTGATTCATTTATCTTGTTTTTGTATATATACATATATATAATGTTATTTTATCAATTGAGTTAATTTTTTATCTTAATTGTAAGACTATATAAATAGATATGTTTTATTCCACAACCTCATACTTCAAATTTTTTATAATGTGACTAATGAGTTCAATTATAAGTCTTCCATTCTTTATGAATTGAAGAATTATTTAAATATGCATGATTGGCATGTAGTGTATTATTAATAGGAGTCTACCAAATTAAAAAATCAATTTTAATATTGTTTGTAGTTCACATTTTTTTATGCATATATCATAGATGATATATGTATTTATGTATAATAAACACACTCATAAGAGTACAAATAATTATTAAATGGATACTTTCATGATAAGAATTCAAATCAATAATTATATACTTTAAGGCCATGTTTGATGCATAGAATTATTAATAGAATAAGATGATAATCATTTTATATTATATTTTATTTGTATCTAAGGAGAGGGATATGGATTATGAGGAGAATTAATATCCTCTTGGCATAGGATTATTCAATCCTCCAAAAATGAAGAGGATTATATTTAATCCATGGGATTAAACTTGCATGTCCAATTATACCTTTAAAAATTATATCAATAATTTAAATTATATAAATTTTGAGGAAGGATAATTTTGACAAATAAATAAATTATCTTATCATAATCCTTGCATACATCAAACACAAATTTTGATGATATTATTTAATCTAATCCTATTCATAATATTATCTTATCCTATATTCTCATAATTTTGTATATCAAATATGACCTAAGTATATAAACAAATAAAATGAAATGAACTATAACATTAATGTTTCAAAGAATATAATAATTAGTTAGAGAACTAACAATGCTTTGATCATTCAACAAAACACACACAATTAATCAATATTTTTTACTATCAAAACACAAAAATATGTTAGAGTATTATTAATTGAAAATAATAAATTCATATTTTTCAAGAAAAAATAATAAAATATATTGATAATATTATTTTTAAATTTCACAAATGAAGTTAGCAGCATGATATATACTTTTTAGGTTTTAGAGTATATTAAAAAAAAACTAATTGAAAAAAAAAGTGAGTGATGGGTTAATTTCTTAACCCACTTATGGAAATAAAAAAAACTTAACTATCAATATATTAAATAATTTCTTTCTTCAATATTAATGTTTCTTACCAATATTGTATTTGGTTTCATAAAATTTTTTTTAAGTACTAAATATTTGAAATTACGTATAAAAAATAAGGATAGACCGAAATTAATTTGGGTGTAGTATAGAATCAATCTATAAAAGATGAAATAAAAACTAAGTTTAGTGACAATTCAAGAGTACATGAGATTATGTTCATAAAGTAAAGATTCATTTAAGCATTATAATGTTAAGGTGTGATTGCATAGAGTGATTAGAAATATTATAATCAACCATTGTAATCATCAAACATATAAATGTATATTTATCATGAAAAAAACATATAAACTTACTATAATACATGTATTACTCTTTTTTTAATAATTTTTTGATAAGTTAATTTATAATTTTATATGAACTTTAATTTTAATTAATCTAAATTAAATAAATAAAAAATATAAATATATTTAAGGACTCATCATATAAACCATTAAAAAAGATAAAGAGTAAATTAGATTGTAGCTTAAAAATGAAAAATTATATGCTTTACTTGAGATAAAGTTTAAATGTTTTGATGGCATACACATTATAGTCTAATAATTTAGACTAAAACAATTAGTAATTGAGAAATAGAAAAGAATTTGTCTATATTTTGCCTCAAAATCATGAACTCATAGTAATCATAGGCCATAGATGAGACATGTATTTATGTGAATTTGATTGAATTATTACTTATGAAATTTAACAAAAAGAATTCAAAAATAAATATGAGAGTTAATTTGAGTTAATTTTGGACAACAGATCACCATATCTACAATAAATTTTAATGTAGTTTAATTTGATATAAATTTTAAATTTTTAATTGATTTAAATTTAAATAAGTAATGAATAAAAAGCTATATATTTAATGTCAATATCATTATTAAATAAATAAATAATGCTAAAATTGAAATATAAATGTGTTAATTTTTAAAATTATAAGGATATTTATGTTATTCATATTTAACACTTTTAAGATTTAAATTTAATAAACTAACTAATAAAGTTTATATATTTAATGACAAATAATCTTTATTAAATAAATAAAAAATGCTAGACATTTAAAGGTAAATTTTTATTTCCTTAAAATTCATAGAGGTATTTATGTCGTTCACTTTTAATACTTTTAGAGTTCACACTTTTATATATGGATGATATTTTAAATAATGATATCAAAGTATTATTTCATCCATGTGCAATGTACGTGTAGAATAAACTAGTATTACATGAATGCTCAAGGTTTGTCATTTTTCCTCAACATATATAAAATCAACTATATATTGATTGAATCTAAATAGCAATGTTAAATTAATGCTTCTAAATAACATTGTGCCTTGATTGTTCATTAATAGACATTCAATTAATTTCTGTTAGCTAGAGTATGATCTACTATCTATCTACCTTACAAAAACTAATTAAGTTTGAATAATAATATGTTTTCAGGTTCCATTCCTTCCTCAATCTTCAACATTTCTACATTGCAAGTAATTCAGCTAGGGAAAAACAACTTCTCAGGTCATCTCTCATCAGATATGTTTAATCACCTTTCTGAATTACAATCGCTTGACTTGAGTCAGAATCAATTTTCCGGAAGAATTCCAACAAGTTTATTCAAGTGCAAAGAGTTACAATACCTATATTTGTCCTACAATCAATTGAAGGGGACTGTGCCGGTAGAAATCCGGAATTTAACTTGGCTTACGGAGTTGGCTCTCGACCATAACAACTTCCAAGGTAAAACATTAATTCATTCTTATAATAATGCTTACATTTTTGTTTTTAATTTCAATTTTCATCTAAAATTTTATGTATAACAAAAACTTGAATTCAAATATTCTTTTATAAATTAAACATTTAGTTTGTGGCTGTGATATTTTGGCTACTTTGAACTTGTTTATCACTTTCAGATACTTTGTCTAAAGTTTTTGAAGCTTGCTAGTGTGAATTAGTGTATTTTTTTTTTATACAAAGTAGTCATAGTTTGGTAAGAGTAAAAAATAATTCACATGTTAGAATTTGAATTTCAAATTTGTTAAATATTATTTTTTAAAAAAATGATTATACGAAGCAATTAGGGTAAGCCTTGTGCTCAATTTATGTATCATTTTGCTATACTATTTATGTTATGTGTTAGCAAAAAATAAAATAAAATAAAATAAAATATCTAATAAAGTTTTATCTTTTCATCGTGCTTATGTTTGGTCACTTGGATTGGAATATTTTTCTTTTATATGTTCAAAAGTAACTATTACTTACTAAAACAAAAAATGAAAAAGCTAAAAAATTCATTTTGCTTTAAAAAGGAAACAAGAACTTTTGTTTATTTACAATAACCAAAGGCTTTTTGAAAACTAATTCAACTTAAGTCTTTTGGTTATTCAATGCTACATATTTGAAAAATGCCATACTAGCCATTGTTAGGAAATTTTGATTTCTCCTTTTGAGCTATAACTAGGATTTTCAAAAATTATAATGCAAAAATAAATGGAAATTAAGAAGATTAGAACACCTCTTTTCTCACAAGTGCTCGATTGAAAAATGGCCTTCTTAATTAATTAATTATTTATTTATTTGTTGCAGTACTTTCTCGTAGGAAAATTTTAACCTATAATGGATGATTTAAACTCGTTTTCCAGGTGAAATTCCACCAATTATTGGAAACATGAGTTTTCTTGGTGTACTGTTTCTTCCCTCTAACAATTTCACAGGTATAGTATCATCTCCATTCCTTTTTTATCAGGTTTCCACATGTCAGAAATTCTTTCAATTACGTCTGAATTTGAAAATAAGGATTTAGATTTCAAAATTATAGTACTAATTGTGTGATATTGAAAGAGCAAATTAATATAAATATGACTTTATTAGAAGTTTTCTTTAACACAACTCAAGTAATTAATAAAAATTTAGTACATGTAAGAGAAAATTATTTGTCCCTAGAAAGTATTTTAAACATTTCTTATTAGAGCTTTCCTTTTTGTTAGATTAAATTTTGACATAGAATACATAATATAAATAATTAGTGAAATAATTGCTTTTCATAGTTTTATCCTCAACTATAATTTTCTAATTTAACTTATACCTATGTAAGCTGTTGATAGATTGTTAAATTATTAATTTCACTTATCAGATTTACCGAATTCAATTCTAACAATTTCAAATAAAAAAATAATAATTGGCCTAGGTATCATGGAAAAAGTTCCAAATCTACAAGGGAATGTAAAAGAGTTATTTTTCTTGCTAAAGAAAAAAGATCACAATATTTTATTTACATTTTTCGGAGCAAACCTCTTTTAAATTAGAATCTTCAAACTCCTAATCTTGTTCAAATTTGCTCCTAGGACGACTTCCATCTCCACCACCTTCATTGAGATGGTTCATGGTTTCAGACAATAATTTAGTTGGAGACATCCCTTCCTCAATTTGCAATGTGAGGTCACTTCAAGGTCTCAGCTTGTTTAAGAATAATCTCGTTGGAACTATTCCACAATGTCTTGGAAACTTAAGCTTTTCCCTTGTAGACTTGGAGTTACAGATGAATAATTTTCATGGTACAATACCAGGAAATTTTTCTGAAGGTTGTTCATTAAGAAATTTTAACCTGAATAGCAACCAGCTGAAAGGGTCACTACCACGATCTTGGGTTAATTGTAGAGACTTGAAACTTTTAGATCTAGCAAACAACAACTTAAATGACACTTTTCCCCATTGGTTAGGAATTTTGGATATAGAAATTCTTGTCTTGCGATCTAATAGATTCTATGGTCGGATAGACAATTTTGAAGTTACATCTTCGTTCTCTCATTTGCGGATCATTGATCTCTCCCATAATGATTTCATTGGCTACTTACCAATGAAATTTTTCGAAAATTTGCATGCTATAAGAGATGCGAACAAAAGGAAAGCAGAGTACATGATAGATTTATATGATGAAGATCGTTTTTATGATAACTCAGTATTGATTACGACGAAAGGGTTGGAGTTACAGTTCATTGACATCTTAACCACTTTCACAGCAATAGACTTTTCAAGTAATCGATTCGGTGGACAAATTCCTGAAGTACTTGGAGAACTTCATTCCCTTTTAGTTCTCAACCTCTCTCACAATAGTTTAACAGGTTCTATCCCATCAGTGTTAGGGAATTTGTCAGCACTTGAATCATTAGATCTCTCGTCAAACAAGCTCCAAGGAAGAATTCCTCAAGAACTAGTGAATATGATATTCTTAGAGGTATTAAACCTATCTCAGAATCATTTTGTGGGACAGATTCCTCAAGGCAATCAGTTTGGTACTTTCTCAAATGATTCCTACATTGGGAACTTGGGTTTATGTGGACTTCCTTTATCAAAAAAATGCGATGATGATCAGAATTCGGAAACTCATCCAATAAAGTTTGATGAAGATGATGATACCACAAGAGAATTGAATTGGAAATTTTCTATATTGATGGGTTATGGATGCGGATTGGTGCTGGGACTGAGCATGGGATACATTGTATTTACAACTGGAAAACCATGGTGGTTCATTAGGATCATTGAGAGAGTTCTGCAAAAATATGTTACAGGGAAAAACCGAAGAAGACAAGGAAGAAAACAACACAACTAATACTCTTAGGTGAGTTTCGATATTTCTAACAAAAAATATCTGCTTTTTTTTATCTTAATTTCTTTAACAAGTTTTAACAATTATGACCAGATTTTATGTGTTGCAGTAAGGATACTCCAAGGGAGGCCTATTTCTAACAGATTGGCAAATGGGACATTCTTGATAAGAATTCAAGAAGGGAGATTTTTCAAGTCCGGCAGGATATCCTATATTGTTATACGTTAAACATCGTTGTGTTTTAGGTTACTGTTTGTTTCCAGTTTGTTGGATTATAGTGACTAGTTTCTGCTGTAATATTACTCCATAAATTCTACAGTGCTTCCCTATAACAATGATATGCAACTTCCTTTGCACATTGTTATCTTCAATAAAGTTAATGAGCACTAACTTCAATTTTGAATGATTTTTTTTTCATTTTTTTCAAATCTTTTTAACCAAGGAAAACAATCATTTGCAGTTCAATTACAGCTTTCCAAAGATCTGATAGAATATGATAATCCCCTGTTTTTCTTCGAACTAATGATAATTTTATTCAACATTATTCTATATACAAGCTTACTCTTATATGTCTCTCCCTTTTAAAATATTCAGACTGATTCCCAAGTATTTAGCCCACAGGTGACAGCATTTTGACTGATGGTTAGTTCATTGTCAAAATACAACAAATTTATTAGCAGAATCAGTGGATAACCGATGATTTCACAAAACTGCCTGTAAATGGGTTCTTTGGTGAGTTGAGGAAATGTTGCAAATAAATAGAACAAGGTGTGAGTTGGGATTTTTTTTAAGCAGAAACAAATTCCCAATGAGATCAACACAAAATAAATCACACGCAAGAGGCAAAATTTAACATGATTCGGCTTAATTGCCTACATCCACCGATGAGAGAGAAAATCCATTTAAAAAAAACATAGAGATTACAAAGAGTACACAACATCATAAATAAACACTAATCTTGAGCCCCTGAAACAATCCTAATTTTCATGCTCCATAGCGTATAACTTATGGAATATCTTTTATCCCATGCAACCGGTGTGTCATAACATCTAGATCCGGAGATCTATCGCTAGAAATTGACTTAAGGAGTCACCACCAATCTTTTTTATCTAGGTGTGATTGGCCACCTAAGGAATCCGTCCTTTCAGGGAACACCTAAGTTTAAGGGTCCCTAAAAGAATAGGTTCGGGTCTACTAACCAGAATAGGGTTCGGGAGTTCGGTTACGTGTGAGGAAGGTTATAGCACCCTCACAACGCCCATCAAAAGATGGTACCAGCTTAATTTTGTGTTATCCAATAAGCCTTAAAAATTTACCAAGTAATTAGTTGTTGGAAATTGTTCTCAATTAACTTTAATACTTTTAGCAGAAAATTGAGAAAATTTTCTCACCTCAAGAGTATGCATGAAAACTACTATTTCACTTGTAGAGGCTCCATTGTCGGATTATTTGACATTAAGGAAAATTCAAAAAAGAAAAAAAAATGATTGCTTTTGTACAAGGAAAATTTGATACTTTCAACTTTTTTTCAAAAATATTCTTTTGAAACTTTAATTTCGAGAAAAATTGATACTTTCAACTTTCTCTCAAAACCTCTTTTTTTTGGAAATTTTACTTTTAAGAAAAATTGATACTTTCAACTTTTCCTAAAAAAAAAAAACCTTTTTTTGAAAATTTATTCTTAAGGAAAATTGATACTTTCAACTATTCCCTAAAAATATTTTTTGGAAACTTTTAATTTCGAGGAAAATTGATACTTTCAACTTTTCCTCAAAAAAACTTTTTTTTGAAAATTTATTCTTAAGGAAAATTGATACTTTCAACCTTTCCCTAAAATGTTTTTTTTTAATTTTATTTAAAGAAAATAAAATAAATATAAAATAATAAAAAAATGAATATAAAAAAATCCTAATATAATAATAATAATAAATAAAATAAAAATAAAAAAAAAACTTGGGAACGGCTCGACTAATGGCTCAGCTCGGCTTGGCTTGAGAAAGAAAAAACGGCTCGGAGCAGCG